ATTATTTATCTCGTTATACTAGTATAATGACATAATTTGTCAACTTTTTTTAGAATTATAGAATTTATTCTGTTATAGCGACATATGACAAATTCAAATGTCCGCCATGCTAATTTTTTGCAAACAACATAAACTATTTAAAAGCCATTCATTACTTTGTTAACAATTTTAATTGAGGAGAAATTGGAAGTTTCCGAACGTATGTTGACTTTCTTGATGGTGTAAAGTACTTGGGACGCACTTTATAATTTTCAGCCAGAAGTTTCACTTGCTCCTGCAAACACAGTGTTATGAAGTTGTGAGCAAAAAAATATATCATAAATTAACACATGATAAAAATGTGACACATTGTATACCTCCAATGCAATTAAGTGTGTCAATGTAGATCCTAAAAGTGGAACTGATGGTTTATCTATTACAATTTTTGTTTTCATAAAAGGCCATGTTCTGTAAATGCCATCATACTCAAGGTTCATTACGAAAGATTCTATTGTATCACCTAGATTTCAAATGAACAATTCAATGGATTTATTATAAAAAAGATATGAAAATAATAAACAAACAAACCCATATTAATGAAAAAAACAGCTCTGTCAGGACCATTTCTTCGATATATCAAGTCATTAATGGTTTTCTTTGCCCTGTAATTAACCTTAATGTAATCTTTGCTATACATGCAGCCCAAATTAGTTTGGTGATTTTGATGGTCAAAATTATTCCAATTTTGATGGTAGAAAGTAGAAATTAATTACCCCTTTACTACATGTGTAACCCCTTTATGACAGTGTCAAAATACTTTGGGCTGCATGTATAATCTTTGCTTCTTTGAAGCCTTGTAAACTCTATTGGCTTTACTTCTGAATTTAATATTGGAAGTTGATCTACGTGACATACAAAATCAGGTCTTTTATTAGTTCCATTAACACTTCTATTCAACTTTAAACTGTAACTTTTAAATGGTCCACAGAATATAGGTTTCAAGACAGGATTCAGATAAAAAAATCTGTGTTCATCTTCCAATAATCTCATTGGAGCAATAATAGGAAGATAATCATATCTAAAGAATGTAAATAAAAAAAAAGATTTAGTAAGCTTTGATTTTTTATTTTTTGATCTTTCTTTAATGATGACAAATAAGTTGAAGACAACTTACAGATCATCAAAAATCTTTTTAATTATTTTACTATAAGGTAAATTTTGATCAGTGTAAGAATTACTTTCTTAACGGAAATAAATCAATATTATAACACAAACAGGTACTTTAATTGTTGTAAAAATACAAGTTATCTTTATTATCTTAAAAATGATGTCCTTTATATAATAAAATTACATAGATTGATATGATATAAATAAAATATAAATAATAATAAAAGATTGATAAAATATAAATAAAATAATCATAATAATTCTTATCAATCTATCTGGAAGATTTGTGGACATAGATAAGTAATAAATAATAATTAATAATTTGTACCACCCAGATGTTACACATGACTTCGGAGTAAATTGTTACAATCAGGCTCAAAATGAGCATCAACACCAATACTCCTTTTAAATGTTGTATCATTCAAATAAGAGGATAGAGAAGAATCTATAATAGGTTTCTTAGGTTTGTAAGGATTGCTATTAGTAATTATTAGCCATTCGTCAGTTGTAAAGAAATCATAAGGACACGGCCAATCTACAACTATTATTGATGCTATAGCCCTAAAAGTGGTAAGCAAGAGATAATAAGTATGTCTTCATGTAAATATGTGACAAATTATAAAAATTTTAAGGTATTTAATACTTACAAAACATCAGTAATATTATTCCATGTGATTTTTTTTTGCCCTCTTTCTAAGTCATGTAAAAGATCATATTGATATTTCCTAAATTTTTCTGTGACATTTATAGAACCAACAATCCACTGAAAAATAATGATGAGAATAACAAATAATGTAATAAATAAAACAAAATAAAAATTTACTGCTTACTTTTTCACTACATTCAATTTGTATTTGACTTTTAATTGATTCGTAATCAAAATTTAGTACTTCATTCTCCTCATTTGATTCTTCAGAATTTTTAGTATTATCAGACTCTTCTACATCCGAATCTTTATTACTGTCTTCAATAATATGAGGTGGATCTGCAAATATTATTAATTATGTAAAAAGTAAACAATTCGGGAATATTAATAATTTGAATCTATCTACTTTAAGATGCAAAATAAAGATGCAAAATAAAAATAAAATTTTTACCATCAATTTCATTCATTACCTTCAACAGAAATGATACTAGAACCTCCTATAATTTTTCTTGACTGAAACATGTATGAGCTTTTTATGTTCCCTTAATTTTAAAAACGCCAATAATATTACCTTTTCTGCAGGATTTTCTTCACCATCATATCCTCGTTTAGCATTAGAAGTTATTGAATTATTGACTGATAAAACAGTATTCAGTGGAGATGATGTTATTTCTTCAGTTGATAACTCTTGTGCATACGTGGTAAGCTGTTCGTAGCAAAAAATGTTAGAACAAATGAATATAATTCAAGCAAAGCTATCATCCCACCTCAATACCCACTGTTTTGCCGAAAATATTGAGATGGCCCAATGATGCAACTTGAATAGCAGTTTTTCTCTCTTTTCTTTGTCGTTTTTTTTCGGTAATCTTCTCCCAAAAGTTTGAAACAGCTAATGACTTTTTCTCCGCCTTGAAAGGAAGACAAAAAGGTTAGTGACAGAAGTGAAAGACTAACTTGAACATTTGTGCATATTGCGGCTGATGGGTATGGATTTAAGTTTACTCGAACCAGCAGATCATCACAAGAGCAACCAGCAGATGCTCTTGCTGAATAAAGTGAAATCCAAAATTCGCCTGAACCAGCAGATCAATCACAAGAGCAACCAGCAGATGCTCTTGCTTGGCAAAAACCCTTCTGAAATTATCCGAACCAGCAGATCATCACAAGAGCAACCAGCAGATGCTCTTGCTGGATAAATTCAGAATGCCGCAACAGCCAAGGAGGAAGTAAATACTCTGACCTCAAATGTATCTAAAGCAATAACCTTCGTGTTAAGATCTATCAAAGTGGCTAAATATCCATCATGTTCAAGTTGACTGTTTTCTATAAAAGAAGCTTGTTTTTCTCTTTGTATGAGATAATTGTAAAGATAGTTATTGCACCCTTTTTTGAGCACAGCCTTAACGACTAACATTCTATCTCGCTTCAAATCCATAGCCTGGCTGGAGTAATTAACAAGTTTGGAGTTAGGTTACACGATATAGACGAATAACAATTGGTCATAAGTAAGAATACATCGGATAAGAATTAGATATTAATATTTTTTCGAAAAAGTAATAATCAGAGCGCAAAAGATACTTAATTGACGATCCACGAATGAACTAGTGCATATTTATGCAATCTGTGGGGCAAAAATGGTAAAAAAATTGCCAGTCGACTATGTTTAACAAGTAATAAAGCATGATGTTTTTGTATTACAAATTTTGTTCTTTTTATGTATGCATAAAGTAAATAAATCTCATAGATTATTATATCAAAATATTAAAGGGCTTGAAATGTTTCTTGAAAACTTTTATATGTAGGTAGCTGAGATTTCAAGAAGTCAATAATATATAAAAATTGGAATTTTTTAATTTTCAGCCTATCAAGTATTTGACCAGAGCTATTTTTTTATCAGTTTATTAACAAACAAACTTTTATTTCAATAAAACCTGCTAAATGAACCTACATGTTGTTATAAGTGAAGCCAATAAAATAACTGCAAAAGAGTTTTAAAGAAGTATTTAACAATCTCAAAAGAATTCCGATATTGTTTTTTATATTTTTTGTATAGAAACAGACATTAACTTGTGAAGATGGTGAGATTTGAGAAATTTCTTATTTTATTAATAACAACTAGATGTAATCTGTCAGCGAAGCGACGGATTACACCTATCTAAGCGTAAATTTTATTGTGATATTACATTTGCACTATTACACAATCATGTGATGTCTAAAAGTTGCGCATCACAGCATATTTCTTTGCGTGCTTGTGGTAGTCTAAACGTAACCATCGATACAATAACAGATAGATTGTGACACACGTTCGCGTTATTGAACAATTCAAAAAAATTATTTATGCGTGGCAGCCTAAACGTTACGTTTATTTATGCATGCGCGCCATTCTAAACGTTATGCTCACGTGAACCCAACGTTTTTAATATAATAGATTAGCACCAAAATTTCATAATAAAATGATCAATATTGCTCCGATTCATAAACGGATCACCAGGGATCAAAATTTAGTCAGTTTTATAACAATCAATGGACAAATCCGGGTTACGCGAATTTAATAGTGGTACAACGAATTTAGAAAAACTTCATACGCGTGACATTCTATTATGAATAAATACTTACCTTTATGATAATATAAAAAATACATTTTTTTAGTTCTATTTTATATATTACTGTTGCAATTTTTTATGGTAGTTGGAAAAACTCAGGGATTGCATTATAACAGACTTTACAGTACCGTTTTGAACTTCCACTCAAGATTGTCCTCAGTTTTAAGTTATTGGAAACAAATAGTTACTTTAATATATGTAAAAAAGCATGCTTAATGAGTTTGCTTAGAAGTTGAAAAGGCAGTATTCTTAATAATTTTTTCGGTAATAACGTTTTTTATTTATTTATTTAGCATTATTTACATTTTTATTTATTTTTTCTATTATTACTCCAGTATCTTTTAACACGTTGAACATTCCACTCTGATGATAATTTCCCTAAAACTTCTTTTATTTCCTCTTCTGTTTGCAATGATTCATTTTGTAATAAATATTCTAAGGCTTGTCTCTTCTTTTGTTGTTGATACTCTTAAACGTTTCGTTTTAATCATATTATCCATTTGTTTGATGTCAACTAATTGAGAAAAATTTAGGTCATCAATTTGTTCATTATTAAATGATTGGAGTTCATTATCATCTACTGATTCATATTTTTTTCTGGCAAATTGGTGACCCATATCCAACCAATTTCTGCAATTTTACCCTATTTCGTGTATTTTGTGTCCTAAACCGCGTTATTTTTAGAATTCTTCGACACTAAACCAATTACTTTTTTTTTATATACGGAATTCAGGATCTCAAGTAATTAGTTGGAGAAAATGTGCTACTGTAGTATGTTAAAAACAATTTTTAATTATTTTTTTTTATTTTTCTTTTAATTTAATAGTGATTACGAGCATTCATTATTTGAAATCATGGTTACCCTGACGGTGTTCATAAAGATAAGATTGTTTCATCATACCTACAAAGGAAGACACTAGATTTAGTTCTAATTCAAGAAATAGTTCGGTTCAACGTGAAACATGAAACGTTCCAATTATTGTGAGTATTCTTCAAAATATACTTTCTTCAGAATAGTCTATTAAAATTTTATTAAACTTTTTGATATTGAAAAATATTGACCTTACATCATAGGAGTTTAAGTAGTTATTATATGTAGTGAATATGTGTTCTCTAGATATTTTTTAAAGACACGTCAGAGATATTCATCTTCAAGGCATTGTCATCTATGTTGATTCGTTGGATATGAAAGTGAGAAGTTGGAGAGATCTACTTGATAAAGAGAATTGGGCAATTAGATACTATGACAATAACATTATGTTTGTTTATCCAGACATTATTGATAATTAAATCAAAATATCATGGAAAAAAATTGGGTTTGCAGAAGCAAATGGTAGTAGTAGTGTTTTTTCTTCAAATACAATCAATAGATAGAGAGACAATGATATTTATTTATTTATTTGTGTTCTTTTGTTTAGTTATATTCAACATTCATTTAAACAAAGCATTTGTTGGTTGTATTTTTTAATCCTGTCTATTTAAGAAAGCAAATAAAACGGAATATTTAAAAAAAAAGTTTTTAAGAGCCTAATTTTCGCAGTATAATTTTGCGCAGTGAAATGGCAAACTAGTTAAAACCCAGATTAAGAAGGTAATTGACATTTTTTTGCTTTTGAAATGCTAAATCTATATGATAAATTATATAAATACGGATATGCTTGTTTCATAGATTTTTAACAAGTTTGATTATATTGACTATAATGGAAATGGCATTCTAACACTTGTTGAAACTGATAAAACTGTAATTGAGCTCTACACGCTCTACACACATGTTGCAAAAGGTAAGCCTGACATTATGCGAGCTTACAAAGCTAGTGATGTTTTAAAGGCTTGTTTGTATTATTGTAAAAACATTTTTCACTTTACGTGTTGAAAATTTATACATCTCTAGCACATTAAACTTCCTATCATGATGGTTTCATTGACTTGAGTGAATTTAGTAATCTCCACGATCTTCTTTATTACTATGATGAACTGTACAAGCGGTTTCAGAAACAGAAGGTAACGAGCTTGTTGTGATAAATACGAATTTAGATGAAGAACTTGAGGCAAAATTGAATACGAATCATGAAGGGTATATCCTCTTTGAAGAGGTAAAGTGAAATACCTGTTTTTTTTTTTTTTTTTTGAAATTTTGATGCATCGATCGATTTCACTAATTTTATCTGCAGATCAATATTTGTAATAGAATCAAAATTCGTCTAGCTTGAGAATAATACAGTTTATAAAATTAATGTAACTCGTTTCATTATTTTGAAATGGCTGAAACCAACCAAAATATATTTTCAAATAGACATATAATGGTAGCTCAAGATGTAACTAGTTTAGAAGGTATTTATTTATTATTTCTTTTAATAATGAAAAGTCAATTTTATTACATCACTATAATAGTTGGGATAATTTAAACAAGCATGTTATGAGTCAAATGGTAATTTTTATTATTCATATTATAATATTATCTCTCTAGGAACTTATCAAACCATTCCGAAAATTAACTCACAAAATAAATATCCTATATCTGATAATTATATAATTAAAACAGAAGTTGTTAATTGTAGTCTTTGATGCTTAAAATTAGAGTTGAGTGCTCAACTGTCAGTTCACTTTTACAGGTTATTTTGTTAAACTATATCGCTAGACATGTTTATATTTATTTTATTAGATGATTGCTTGAAGAAGTGTTTTAGACTTTCTGGCCTCGTGTATTTCGATATTAAGCCATTACACAATGTTTGTTTACACGTTAGTTTTAAAACAACAATAATACAATTAAACCTCTTGGTGACATTACTTCTAATTCTTAACAAAACAAACTATTCAATACTTTGGTGAGTAGAATTAGGAAATGGAGCATTTCAATTTTGCTTAAAGCGTTGATACCATTTTGAATATCCAGGTGATACTTCATATAAAACTTGGTAATGATGGGATGAATTAGTATTAGGAAAAAAAAAATACTTTGGCGTTTTCCTATATTTGTATTTGTGGAAGTCGTGGAATTGCTATGGGAAATTGTGGCATCAATTTTTTAATTTGTATGAAACCACCATACAATGAAAAAGATATAATCAAATTTGAACTTAAAGCCAAGAATCGGTGAGATCTTTTTATTAGATATCATAAATTTTATATCAGTAACTCCAATGCTTTGTGAGAAAGGAGGATGACACTCCGCAAATACACATGACTTTTTTTTGCATAAATTAAAGCAACCAAGATTTTTCATTTATATTATTTTCAACAAGTAGCATTGAAAAAAAAAAAATCATAAACAAGCATAAATTTTATTTTTTTAAAATTGAAGCTTTTAAATTATTTAATAATATTTTTTAACAATTTTTTTATCAGGTTGTTTTTTTTTTTTTTTTTGGTAGCACTACGATATGAAGCAGTAACAAAACAAAGCCTGTGTTGTTTAGCATTTGAAAAAAATTACATGTAAAATAAAAAATTATTGGAGTTGATGAATATTTTGATTTTAATGGTATTGATGACTGATTACATGAATGAAGAGCAACTGGTTGAAAATACATATTATATATATATTATGTAATCCATGATCGTAATCATATTATATTTGTAATAATTTAATTTTATTCTGACAAAGAAAGAATTGACTTTTCACACGACCATTGTTTCCCAAATCGGCTAGATTTTTGTTAATGGTATTCTTAAAACGAAAGGAAAAATAAATTCCCATCAATTAATTGTTTTTCGTTATAAAAAGAATCAAAAAAAGTCCCTTTAATGGAAAAAAAGTGTAATTGGTGATGATACATGAATTTCCAGATCCTCCTAACATAAAAAATTCATCTGTTGCAATAATGAAAAATTTATTCCAATCATTTAGAAATGCTTGTGATGTGACTTTGGATTTTGAGAATGAGTATTTTGAAAACATAGTTGGGTTGTTTCAAAGGTGCAGACAGAAATTCCATACAATTGCTAACGACACAATTGAACAATCTGACAATTTAGTTAGATTTGGTGGAGATATAATGGTCTTTTTTAAGCATTATAGTGACGAGGCTGCTTCTAAAGAAGATATATTAAATTATTTGAATAGACTTTTAAATGATGCTATAACTAATAAAACTGCAATAGAAACAACCAACTCCAAAATTAAAACTCTCGAGGATGACATGACAATGATTCGTAATGAATTAAGAGAATTTGATTTTGGAAATATGAAAAATATTGATCCTACAACATACAACAACTTAAAAGATGCTGAATCTAAAAAAAATCTTTTAAATAAAATGTCAAAAAGCGCTTTTATTCTAGGTGGAATTTTCTTAACAGCCACCTTACCTGTAACAGGAGTAGCACTAGCGGGTGCAGCACTAGTGAGTGCGGCGGGTGCGGGTGCAGCAGCAGCGGGTGCAGGGGCTGCAGCAACAGCAGGAGTAGAAGAGAAAGAAGCTGCTGGATTACGGAAAACTTTAAATCTGAGACAGGGACAAGTGATTAATAAATCAAACAGTTTACTAAATAATGTTACCTCGATAATTCCAAGTTTAAATGATCTTAAAAATTTCTGGGATACTCATATTGCTGAATTAGAAAGACTTATTGATCGATTTAAATTTTCTGGTGAGTGTAGATCTCGCCCCAGTAGATTATTCATTGGACGCTTTGAAATACAATGGAAGGAAACAATCGAAGAATGTAAACATTACTCAGACATTACAAAAAACGAATTAGATAATGATGTTTTAAATCTGAATCAAAATAACTAATTGGGGTTATTGAGTGGAGTCACTTTTAAAAATATTATTGTTTATTTTTATTTCTTTCACTTACCACTTTTGATTTTATGTGAATATATAAACATGTATATTTTTTGTTGTCATATAAACAAAGTATTGTTGTATTTTTTAATCCTGACCATTTAACAAAGAAAATAAAAATGGATGAATGCCTTTTATGTTAAAGCGGGGAGTCATAAATAATTTAATAATTGACAAAATTAAAATTATTTTACACAAATGAAATGACTGTTAGCATTTTTGTTTTTGAAACATTAAATCTACACGATAAATTATATTTCATATGGATATGAATACACTGATTTCAATTGTTGTCGTAGGTTTTTAACAAGTTTGACTATAATGGAAATGCTAATATTGATAAAGCTGTAATTGAATTCTACCCTCATTTTAAACATCCTTCGCTTTACGTGTTGGAAAGTTTTTACATCTCTAACACATTAAACTTCCTATCAGTATGGTTTCGTTGACTTGAATGAATTTGGTAATCTCCTCAATCTTCTTTATTACTATGCTGAACTGTACAAGCAGTTATAGAGACATATCAGTTCAAGAAAGGTCACGGGTTGTTGGGATAAATGCGAGATTCAGTTGAAGAACTTCATCAGGAAATTTTTTAAGGGGATATCTATGAAAATCCATTTGATAATACGTCGATAATAATAATGATCGCATTCGTCGATTACTTTCGAGATATATGGATAAATTATCAAAGTTTAATCACATCGAACATCAAAATTTAACAACATCATCATAATACATCATTAATAATCGATATGGATAAATTATTGAAATTTAACAAAATCGAAATTTATTAATATTGAGTAATATTTATTGCATTTATTATTAATGTTGAATTTTTTACAGTACTAATTAGTCACAATATAAAAGTATAACTAAATGCAACACTAAAATAACTCCAACACCCAATTTACTCTAAATATATCATGTAAGTATTATTAATTAGTAAAAGTAATCATATTAAATTTATAAATAATAAATAAATTGAACCGCTATTAATAAAATAATGAATCATAATTTGTTCTTCGATTGTTTCTCTATCTTCTTCTTCAACATTTGTCCCATTTTTCTTTCATAATAACATATAACAATTGCATAATTCCCCCCCCCCCCCCGTTGTTAATAATTAAATAAACACATTACGAATTTTTGCATAATTAAGAAAAAAAACCATTGTTAATTGTTTTATGATCCTCTTTGATGGTTAGTGGTCTGGCCAACCTTTAATCATTAGTTAGGGAACCCCCGTTTGATTGCTCTATGTTGCTTGTAGGGACGTCTCAAGTGTTATAGTTGTAAATATTTCTTGTATATATTCTTTTTTTATTTTATCATCTTAGGTTGTAGGAACTGCGCAATAGAGTATTTTGAGAAGGCTCCTGAGCTATGTGCAGAGACGGAGGCCTAGTGAAAAAATTGAGTATTGAAAACTGCGGAGACAGAGAAACTTTATAATTATTGGACTTTATGTATATTTTTATAAATATATATTTATTGGACACGTCACAAGCTGGTAACTGGAATTTACTCGCATTTTGACGACGATGACAGGACTATAATTTGCAAAAAGATCCCCGTATCCTTTGCTGAAGAGATTATAGTCACGAACCTGTATAGACATATAAATTATTGGAATTAAGTTTTTCAGCTGAAAAGCTAAAGTTAAGATACATACTATTTAAAGTGGAAGAAACGGAATTCGTGATAAAAAAACATTACCTGTGAAAACAAGGATAAAGATGAAAGGAAGCATTAACACCATAGCCACCGAACGAAAGGAAGAGTAAATATTATCATCACCGAAAGACACTATATAATTAATGGCTGAAGAAGCCTAGACGTAAAATTCCGGAGATAAAAAGCAAACGAAATATAACTGTACCTTGAGAATAACTAGAGACAGTAGTAAAGGATAAGGGACACATCAGGAAAATAAATCTCACGTAAACCTACGCAGGGTTTAAAACTGACCAGCATTATGCGGAAATGTTAACAGAATTACCAAAATATCGACATAATGCTGGCCAATTCTGAACCCTATGTAGGTTTACGTAAGATTTATTTTCCTGATGCAAGAGATCAAGAAAGGTTAGGACTAAAACTATACTGTTAGAATACAGAAGCGTTCAAGAAAGGCTACGAAGAAAATTATACTTTTAAAATCAACGAAGTGTTCAAGGAAGACTATAAATAAAAATTATACTTTTAGAATCAAAGAAGCGCTCAAGGAAGGCTATGACGAAAAGTATATCCTTAAAATCAAAGAAGCGTTAAAGAAAGGTTATGACGAAAAATAGATCGTAGAAATTATTTTAAAAATTTTAATGACATTCAAAAAGGTTAAAATTCGAAAATTCAAAATTCGCCGGAAGAATTGATCAGACACTCTGTCACGGAAAAAGCATCCTAGTACTATATAGGAGAGAAGATGGAACATGAATAAACATGAAAATTCAATTACCGAAATGTTGCACAAAGCCATTATGGTTAACAAAACAAAATATAAACAAAGCACAAACGAACCAGAAGGCTAGATAAACCAAATAGAATGAGAATGACTCTTTGGAAAATAGTTCAAGAAAAAAAAAGGAGCCTGGACCTACAAAAATTTAAAAATAATGCATTCGGAAAGTTTTAATTAAAGAATGGAAATAAAGAAGAAATGGATACCGAAAGGGTAATAGGATCTTTGATGGAAGAACAAATGCAATAATGCAAGGAGGAAGAAACGTCAAAACAAGGATCAAAGTTTTGCAAAACAAAGTCTAGAAAAAAAAAACAAATTACAATTAATTAGGAAATGTAAATGTCGATAAAGAATAACTGTAATTAAATAACAAGAAAGAATTTTAAGCATTAGTAGAACGCCATGTTTGAATTTAAAAAAAGAGCTAAGACACTAGAAGAAGAAACATAAATGAAAGCGTAAAAAACGAATCAATTAATTTTGTTTCAACAAAAAAAGTATTACTTGCGAGAACAGAACAATTTGTTATTAATTTATTAACATAGAATGAATCAAAATCGAGAGACGAAATAAACAAAATTTACGAAGAATAAATTAATTGTAATAGCTCTAGAAGGAAATACTTGAAGAACTAAGTACTATGAGTGCGGTTAGTACAAGTGCAAATTTTAGTGGCTGAAGGAGCCAAACTAAAAGTACATAATTACACCATTACAAGAATCAAACAGACATGAAGGAAATAAGCAAGCAATCTGATTAATTTTGTATATAATCTCCATCGTTAATCATCTTAGTGATTTAATTTCGTATATAATCTTTGTTGTTAATTATCTTGGTGATTAATTTCATATATTATCTTTATCGTTAATTATCTCGGTAATTAATTTCGATGATGCTAAATATCGTAAGATAATTATCAAAAATTATCTTATTCCGTTCGTTAATTTTCGATTTTTTTATTGAGATAAATATCAATAAATGATGTATCTCAATATTTATCCCCTAAAAAAATTTCCTGATGACGTTCTAAATAGCCACTTTTCTGGTTTCACTCTAATCTATAGAGCCACACCCAAGTAACAATACTTCGCTTTCTAAATAATTCTTTCGTTAGGTTTCATTCTAATTTAATACTCCTTAAAAATAATCTAGACCTTTAAAGTTATTTTTAATTTATTGGTTCGTTATGTTTATCGTGCAACATTAATTAAATTGGACCAATTTATTGTAGATAATTTTCGATCTATAAATTAAATATATTCAATATGTAGTCAAAATTTTAAATTTTATAAATCATTTTGTTTTTATATAATGCTGTATTATTATAAGTTATTATCACTGGAAACACCAGAAAGAGAAAAATTTGTAATTAAAATTTATTGTGAAATATATCGTAATGCTTTTTTGAATTCTGATATAGAAAGTAGAAAAGATTATTTTTTTTCTTTGGTTGAAAAAAATGAGGTGCTTTCTGAAAATGTAAAAGAACATTGTAAGGAAATGCTTATTTATAATTTTGAATTAAGAAATGCAATGCTTAAAGAAGGCAAACCAAAAGAATGTAACAAGTGTAAACTAACAAGATACTCTGATAGATTCTGTGAAGGTTGTATTAATTTACAATTACAGAATCTTTTTACTACTTGGACATCTGGAAATAAAATAATTGATAATTTTATTCAACAATGTCAAATGAAATCATCTTTGCCACACAATATTTTAGAATGGATACCTTTTGAACAATTTAAAAAAGTAACAAAGTTAACTGAAGGTGGATTTAGTTCAATTTATACTGCTATATGGACAAGAGGAACTATTAGTGATTATGATGAAAATAAAAATGAATTTAGTTACTTAGGAGAACAAGAAGTAGTGTTAAAAAATTTAAACAATTCAAGTAATTCAAAAAAAGGTTTTTTTAATGAGGTTGGTTGTTGTCATTTAAAACAAAAACAAACAATGCCATATTATACAATACTAATTGATCTTATATTTATTTTCAGGCAATAAATTATTGTAAAATTAAATCACACTTAATTGTTAGTTGCTATGGTATAACTAAATTCCCAGATAATGGAAATTATGCAATGATTTTAAATTACCATCCAGAAGGAAATTTAAGAGATTATTTGCAAAAACATCATTTGAACTTAACATTGAAAAGCAAAATTTTAATCACTGGATATTTATTTACTGCATTATATAATATACACAAAAAAGACTTAATCCATTGTGATTTGCATAGTGGTAATATATTATTGCAAGGAGATGGTTGTTATATTACAGATTTAGGATTATGTGGACCAGTTGATGAAAAATCATCAAATAAAATTTATGGGATTATGCCATATGTTGCACCTGAGCTACTTAGAGGCAAAATTAATACAATGTACACAAAAGAGTCTGATATTTATAGTGTTGGGATGCTAATTTGGGAAATATTTGCAGGTCACCCACCATTTGATGATAGAGCTCACAATCA